CCATATTATTTAGTTAACTAGATGTGATCATAGGAATTAATATATGATTTTAATTCCGTTCTATTTGAACTTCTTTAGGGTTTTTAGGTATGTCGAATTTATCATTGAGAAGTATCTTGGATACAAATAATGTGATTGAACCAAACTTTCTAGACTTGGAACAAAATATGCGTTTCGTTCTTAGGCAAGAAAATATCGAACATGTATTTGATACATGTGTACCCGAGATCCTTGATGTTAGTTCTTCTGAATTAGCCATGTTTGACAAGGACATTCAGAAGAATCACATTGCTGAGGTACCAAATGATGTATGTCTCTACTGCAAAGAGACAGGACATTGGAAGAGAGATTGTGAGATATACAGGACTAATCTAGCCAAAGCACCGAGTGCTTCTAGCTTAGGCATTTTTGTCATTGATATTAATATGTCTACAACTAACTCTCACTGTTGGGTAATAGATACGGCTTGTGGCTCACACATTTGCAATAGTGTGCAAGGCCTAAATGACAGTAGAGCAGTTAGGCTGGGTGAGATTGACCTACGTGTAGGAAATGGAGCAAAAGTTGCTGCTGAACGTGTAGGGACTTATATATTAGATTTACCCAGTGGTTATAGATTAGAACTAAATAATTGTTATTTTGTTCCTTCTATAACAAAGAACATAATTTCCATTCCTATGTTAGACATTGAGGGTTTTTCCTTTCATTTTGCTAATAACACTTGTTGTTTTTCACAAAATGGTATTGTGTATGGAAATGCTCCTCTTATGAATGGTTTATATGTTCTTAATTGTAGACATGACATATTAAATGTTCAAAATAAAAGACCAAGGTTAAGTAATCTGAAAAACACCACATATCTTTGGCATTGTAGGCTTGGTCATATTAATGAAGCCAGAATAGCAAGGTTAAGTAAATTAAATTACATAACACCATTTGATTTTGAATCATATGGTAATTGTGATTCGTGTCTCTCACCTAAAATGACGAGTAAACCTTTTCTTGGAAAAGGACTACGGGCCAAAGAAGTGCTTGAATTGGTTCACACAGATGTGTGTGGACCATTCCCAACTCAAGCTAGAGGAGGTTTTTCTTACTTCATCACGTTTACTGACGATTTCTCTAGGTTTGGATTTGTGTATCTTATGAAACACAAATCAGAATCTTTTGAGAAATTCATGGAGTATAAGGCTGAAGTAGAGAAGCAACTTGACAAGAGTATCAAGACTCTACGATCTGATCGTGGAGGGGAATACTTGAGTAAGGAGTTTCTTGATTACTTAAAAGGTGAGGGAATTCAGTCACAATGGACTCCTCCAAGAACACCTCAATTGAATGGTGTCTCTGAAAGGAGAAATAGAACCTTGTTAGACATGGTTAGGTCCATGATGAATTCCACGTCTCTTCCAACATCTCTTTGGGGGTATGCATTGCAAACTTCGATATACATTCTGAATAGAGTTCCATCTAAATCAGTGCAAAAGACACCATATGAGTTATGGTGTAATAAGAAGCCTGTTCTTTCACATATTAAAGTGTGGGGTTGCCCTGCTTATGTAAAGAAATTGCACACTGATAAGTTAGGAGCTAGAAGTGAGAGATGTTATTTTGTGGGGTATCCTAAAGAAACTAGGGGATACTATTTCTATCATCCTGAGGAACATAAAATCATTATTTCCAGACAGGCACGATTCCTAGAAGAAGACTTGGTCTTCAAGGAATTCAATCGTGAGAAGATAGTACTAGAAGAAATTCAAGAATCACAAAATAACATAGAGGATGAAGACTTGTTAGATGGTCAAAACAAGGATTCAGTGGGTGGATTAAGCGGAAGTATGTCTCTAGGAGGATATCCTTCAGCTAGTGGGAGTAATATAGGAAGCACCTCGCACCAGCAAGTGGTTCCTATTAGGCATGAAAGAAATGACATGGTTGTCATTCCTTCTGCACCTACTTCTCCTTCTCTGGAAACACTTAAAAGTGTAGCACTAGAAAATTCTCCGAGCATTGGACAGTCCAATGCAAGAGAACCTCTTCACAATCAGAATGAGCAGCCTGAACAATCGCAAAATATTCAACTTCGTAGGTCTACTAGGATTCGTCATGAACCAACTAGGTTTGGCTTCCTCATGGAGGATCATGATGATGTTGAAATTCCTGACAAGGATGAACCTAAGACTTACACTGAAGCAATATTAGATATTGATTCAGAGAGGTGGCAAGAAGCCATGAAATCTGAAATGGACTCGATGTATATCAATCAAGTATGGAACTTGGTTGACTTGCCTGTTGGGGTTAGACCCATTGGATGCAAATGGGTTTTCAAGAAGAAAATTGATGCCGAAGGCAAGGTGCAAACATACAAAGCTAGGCTAGTGGCTAAAGGTTATAGTCAAAGAGAGGGAATTGACTATAGTGACACCTATTCGCCAGTTGCAAAACTCAAGTCCATTCGAATTTTGCTTGCGATAGCAGCATACTATGATTATGAAATTTGGCAAATGGATGTCAAAACTGCTTTCCTTAATGGAAACCTCAAGGAGGAGGTGTACATGGTACAACCTGAAGGTTTTATATCCAAGTCAAATCCCAAATCAGTATGTAAATTGGAGAAATCCATATATGGGCTAAAGCAAGCCTCAAGGAGTTGGAATATCCGTTTTGATGAAGCGGTCAAATCGTTTGGCTTCATCAGAAGCAATGAGGATGCGTGTGTATATACAAAACGCAGCAAGGATAGCGTGGTCTTTATGGTCATATATGTTGATGACATTCTGATCATAGGGAATGATATCCCTTTATTGAAGTCCGTGAAAGAATGGTTATCCAATATCTTCATGATGAAAGATCTAGGTGAAGCCTGTTATATCCTTGGGATTAAGATCTATAGAGACAGAGTTAATAGGATGTTAGGTCTTTCACAATCCACGTATATTGACAAAATACTACATCGATTTAAAATGGAAGAATCTAAGAAAGGATTCCTCCCGATGGGTCATGGGATATCGTTATCAAAGAAGGATAGTCCTTCAACTGATGATGAGATCAAACGCATGAGAGGGATTCCATATGCTTCTGCAATTGGTTCAATCATGTATGCTATGATCTGTACTAGGCCAGATGTGGCTTATACGCTTAGTATTGTTGGTCGATATCAAAATAATCTAGGAGAACGACATTGGAGTGCTGTTAAGACTATTCTTAAGTATCTTAGACGAACTAAAGAATATTTCTTGGTTTATGGTGGACAAGAGAAACTAATAGCATCTGGTTACTCTGACGCTAGCTTCATGACAGATAAGGATGACTATAAGTCACAATCAGGATATGTTTTTAATCTCAATGGAACAGCAGTAGACTGGAAGAGTTCCAAGCAGGACACTACAGTTGATTCGACAACAGAAGCCGAGTACATTGCTGCATCAGAAGCAGCTAAAGTGGCCGTATGGATACGTGAATTCCTCAAAGAATTAGGGGTTGTTCCAAATGATAGTCATCCAATAACCATTTATTGTGACAATACTGGTGCTGTTGCACAAGCAAAGGAACCAAGATGCGACAAGAGGAATGGACATGTGCCGAGGCGCTATCATGTGATTCGAGAGCAGATAGCAAGAGGAGAGGTTGCAATAGAACGTGTTTCCACTGAGGACAACTTGGCTGATCCCTTCACCAAACCTTTGAGCTGTGAGAAACATACTAGACATTTTGAGAATCTAGGTGTTAGACGCATTGGTGATTGGCACTAGGCCAAGTGGGAGATTGTTAGTATATATGTCCTAGCGACAATCATTTCTTTAAAGACATATGTACTTGATCACATTTAGTTTTTATATTTGATATATACACGGTATTACACTTTATGAATGATTGTTTTCGATTGTCAATGTTTTATTCATAATTGTGTTCCCTTGGATTTATGTTGTCAATAAGTAAGTGGGAGCTTATATGATATAACATAAGGTCCTAAAATAGCCCCAATCAATGATCATCAAGAATGGGATATTGATGATATACGATAAGATTGGTATGTGGACTGCATCATACTTTTAGAAAGTATAGTTGATCTCACGACTATGAGTTCCTGTAATTCATGATGGTCACATAGATATTTTAGAGAATATTGGCATACCCACCGAGAAACCATTTGATAAGTTCTATTCATGTGTCTATGGGATTATCGGCGTATAGAGTAGTGTAATAGTCCTCCGACTTGAGGTCAATACGTACTACATGTGCGGAGTGATGTACTTTGACCATGACCAACGCTTGCACTCCAATCGGGGTAGATACGGCATGTGTTGGGTGCATCACGAAGCACATGGAGTAGTAGTTGAGCCAAGAAAGGATTCATTCCTCATAATAGATTAAGAGAGAACATTCTACTTCTCATATCTAGATGGATCATAAAGTCATTGGCCAATGCAAAGATATATTCGTTTTGGATATCGAATATGATCGTTATGGATCATCTAGAAAGATTGAGAGACAGAGACTGAGTTATTGGGATAGACACTATATCATGTTCTAGACTTAGTTGAATGTTCGCTGAATGAAAGGACCGTATCACTATGAGCTCTATATTACAGGGAGTTTGTATAGTCCTCACAAACGTCCTTATATATTAAGTTTGTCTGGAGAATCGTCTAGGGATTCGCTAAGACCTTAATTTGATTAGTGCTTAATATATAAGGCCCTATGGGTCACACAACAAGTGATTATACCTTTCGATTGAATTGTTAGAAGGAATTAAATATTATTAATTGGATTAAATAATATTTAATTTGTAATACTGAAAATGAATTAAATATTAATTAGATTAAACATATTTAATTCATGAAGCTGAAGGAGAGTTCTATTTGATAGAATTAATTAAGTAAGATAAATTTGATTTATCATACTTAAATAAGATGTATTTATTATTAAATAAAGTAGATATTTTCTTTTGTAATTTTGAATTAAAAGAAAAGTAAATAAAATAAATATTAATATATAATAATTAGAAAGTGGCGTGCAACCACATCTCAATTATTATTATTATTATTTGGTTTTGTTTTATCTACTTATTTAATTAATAAGGAGTATTGGTCCTGTTAGGATTAGAACTCATTAATGAAGAACACTTTCATTGTGATTGGGAAACTAGTTTAGAACTAGTATAAATACACCCTCCTCCATAATTAATAGACCAGTTTTTAGATTCAGTATTACCAGTTTATTTCCCCGCAAAGAGATTTCCTAGCCTTTCTCTTAGGGAGATCTAACCGTTCTTTCGGAGAGGAGAAATCACGTGGATACCTAAGGTCAAGGATTATAACCGCTAGGCTGGAAGATCTGTAAGTTCTAACTCAGATCTGTTATAATTATCATATTCGTTATTTTGTCATAATCAGGAAAGATCTGTTTGGGAAAATTTTAAACTTCCGCTGCCGTACTTTCGAGGTACGTTACATCAATTTCCTCACAGACCGCCCTCGGCTTCTTGAGATACCATGTGTATGGTGATAAGGAGGATGATATCCAACTCTGGCCGAGGATGACCACCACCTTCGAAGAGGCCGGCGGCCCGGATTTGGGCATTCCTGCTGAGGCCGATGGTAACTATTTCTTCGGCTTTCTTTATGATTTGTTCTTTTGCCTTGCTAACCTGGTGTTTTTTCTGTGTAGATTTTGTCATGGATCGTCGTTCCATCATGGAAATTGCTAAGGCCAAAGCGGCCGAGGAGTTGGCTGCAAAGGCGGCCGAGGCGGCCAGACGTGCCGCGGCCGAGGGAGGCGGGGCTACTGCTGGTGCGGCCCCAAAGCCTGCCCAATCCAAGAAGAAGAGGCCTCCTACTGACGGCCAGAAGAAGTTGACTGAGGCCGGCCTGAACGTCGCCAAGAAGACGAAGAGGGCACCGTCTCCTTCCCAGGCTACTGAGGCCGGCACTCTTGCCGTCCCCAGTGTGGTCGATAGCGGTCCTGTTGTGGACCTCACTGCTGCTCCTAGCGATGCTGCCCAATCGCTTCCTCTCGTCCAGGAGCCACGGACGAAGAGGGCCGGCAAGGAGATTGCCGGTGCCACCTACGAGAAGATGGTGGAATACCCCGTCGGCGGGGGTGTTTTTGATGATGTCGTCCTTGGCCACGACGTCCTGGCCCAGGCCATGCCGGCCAAAGATAGGGCCTATCTGAAGAGGCTCGGGGACGTGAAGGTATAAGAAGGCGGGATGGACCTCCTCGTCCAAGTAAGTTTCCTTCCTTTCTATTTTTCGTCTTTCTCGTCGTCCGGGTGGAATCGTTTGCCTGAGTTTTGTTTGTCTTGTTTATGCAGGGTGCCTTCATGCTTATGAAGAGCCATAAGAGGCAGTACCGGGAGATAGCTCGTCTGAAAGAGCTTGAGCAGAAAGCTGCTTCGGCCGATGAGGCGGTCGCTTGCTTGGATCGGCTCCGGGAGGATGCCAAGGCCAAGCAACAGAAGGCCGACGAGGCCGCCGCAGCCAGGGACGATGCCCTGGCCAAACTCGAGGAGAGCCAAAGGGCGCTGGAGGCCGAGCGGCGCAAAAACGAGGAAGCCGTGAAGGCGAAAGCTGAGGCCGAGGCTGCCGCTGTGAAGGCTGCTGATGAGGCTGTTGATCAGTTCTTGGCCGAGGGGTGGAAGGCCGATGAGCGGCTCCCCTGGTGTTATGAAGTGGTGGCTGCTAGGCTTGAAAGTTGGGGAATGAACTCCCCCGCCGGCCAGGAGTATTGTAGCAGGGAGATGGCCGTGTACTATAACATGGGCCAGGAGCGGATGCAGAGGCTCCTGTGTCGGTGGCTATCTCGTGCTCTGAAGGCCATGAACTATACTTCCGGGTGGGCTAGATGGAACTTGAAGCTCCCCAAGCTGATGAAAGATCCCGAAGAGCATGCCAAGCTTCCTCTGTCGGAGCGGGAGTCCCCCATTGAGAGTTCCGTCCTCGGCGAGCCGGATTACACAGAGTTCGACTTCCTGGACGATGCCACCAGTTCTGCGGCTGCCGCTGGCCAGGAGACTGAGGCCGAGGAGGGAGCCGACGACGTCGAAGAGCCAACCGAGGATGGAGGTGCTCAAGAGGCTTGATCGGCTATTCCCCGCTCCCTTGTAATTAGTTTTTCCTTTTTGCTGAATTGATGTAATGGCCGAAGCGCCCCCCATTGTACTGAATTGATTATGAATGAAAAAATTTTTGCTGTCCTGCTCGGCTTTGAATTCCTTGTATGCTTATTGCTTTTTGTCATTTCAATTCTGCAATTTGTCTAAGTGTAAAAGTTACAACTTAGGTCACCCGCGAGTGTCTGCTACGTCCTTGAGTTAGTCCATCCTGTCCGGTGGCCTGGTCGGCCTGGCCGTCGTTTCTTTACTATCATGACACTTAGGATTTATTCAAAAATTTCCTAAGTGTTTTGGATCCACTTAGGTGCTTTCTTTCCGGCCTGGTGGCTTTGTCGGCCTGTCCGGTGTTTCTTTAATGTCGTAACACTTAGGATTTATTCAAAAATTTCCTAAGTGTTTTGGATCCACTTAGGTGCTTTCCTTTCGGCCTTGACCGTGGTGACCGCTCCGTCCTGGCGTTGTCCCATCCTTCTTTTTTGTTAGAATTTTTCTAAGTGTCTGACTTCAAGTGGATGGGTGTTCTCATCGTCCTGGTATTGAATCTCTCCTCATTATTGACAAATGATTTGGGAGATTTCCCAAGTGTTAAACCAATGTCGTTGTGGTCGGCCCAGTGTTATTCGTGGCCGTCGTGTTCCTTTGTTCCTGATCTGATCAGGAAGGTCGGCATGGATCCTTGTGTTGTGGCCGATAAGGGTACTTTGAACTTACTTTTTTGGACTTAGAATTTTTTCTAAGTACATATGCAAGGCGTAGGTAGCTAACGGCCTTGGAGTATACAGGTACCCGCTTCGTCTAGGGTTTCTCCATTTAGGTACTTGGGGATTTTTCAACAAAGTATAGTGTAGGACAGAGTTCCTTCTTTGTGGTACCGCTGCCGGCTAAGAGGTGGCCCTACCCTCATCGGCCAAGGTCTGGCTTGTGGCCGATGAGGGTGCCCCTTGCTTTCCCAAGGAGATGGTCTTAGCTTCATCGGCTAAGACGTAGCTCCTTCTTGAGGAACCTTTTTCCTCAGAATTTTCTCTAAGTGTTTAGTAAACACTTGAACAAATTCCCAAAGAACTTTCGCTTGACCAACAGCCTTGGTTCCAGTGCCTGTATCGGCTATCCGGGATGCTGTGGCAAGTAGGGATTGTTTCTTGGTTGCTTGATTCCTCCGTGGGTGTGATAAGTGCCCGCTTCGTCCTGGTCATCCTCAGGATTATGATTCTTTGTTTCATGCCAAGCGTTGGTGCTTCAAAGGACTGTGGCCGATGAAGGTTACCTCTCGCGTGTCACCCAACCGATTCGGTTAGGGTTTTATAGGCATATGTTTCGGCCGTGGCCATTCCCTTGTGGTGTGTGGACGTGTCGTCCATGTTACCTGTCAGTGGTACTACACTTGTGTTCAACTGATATGTACTTGGCCTAGTTGGGCCTGAGTTGTGGGGATTTTATTTTTTCATTGCTCGAGGCCGGCTAGTGTGCGCGGCCGTCGGCTTCCCTCTTTTTCCCTTATATATATATATTTTTCGTTTTCGGGGAGTATCCTTCTTTCAGGCTTCGGCCGAAGGGTGTGCTCGTCCTTCGGCCGGTTCGGACTTCGTTTATAACGTCCGTGATCTCAGGGCGGGTCCCGCCGCCTATTTATGACGCGGGCTAGACTTTCGGTCGGTTTCCAACGGCTGTCGTTGCCCATCCCTGAGTTTTGGGATTTTGTCACCTCGGCCATGATTTCAGGCCTGTCGTCCTGCGATCTGGCGCGTGGACGACGCGGTGAGCTTCTCGTTTCAAGACGTGGGCCGTTTGCGGGCCCCTCGTCCTGGGGACATCATCGGCATACCTAAGCGTTTCACTTCTAGGCTTACGGGGCCAGGACGATGTGCTCTCTCAGCTAGGCCTGAGCCCTTCGCTGATACAAAATACAATGGAACGCCTGATCTTGTCGATCGTAGGCTGCAAGTGCAAGGGGCCTCGTCGGCCACGCCTGAGCCTTTCGTCTAAGGTGGCCGATGAGGGCACCTGCTAATGTTTTTACTTTAAATTCCAGAGAAAAAATCAAGAGGAACATGATTTTATTCATAAGTGGCTCGAGGCCGAGGGTGGCGTTCAATCAGTAACCCGTTAAGGGGTGAGGGCTTCGCCGTCTGCACCTCCTTCGGATTACTGATAAAACTTCACCAAATGGTGTACATTCCACGTTCGTGGTACATTGGACCCATTCGGGCGTTTAAGCTTGTAGGTGCCGGGTTTGACCACGGCACTGACAATGTAGGGCCCTTCGTACTTCAATGCTAGCTTGCCACCCTCTGTCGGCTGGCTTGCTTCCCTTCGGCGGAGGACGTAGTCCCCCACCTGAAATTCCCGGGAACGTACCTTGGCGTCATAGTATGATTTTACTTGACGCCGGTAATTCTCTGCTCGGACGTAAGCTTGCTCACGCCTCTCATCGACCAGGTGCAGGTCAATCTTCATGTTCTCTTCGTTGGCGTCAGGCTCATATTGTTCCACCCGTCGGCTGGGGATGGCAACTTCCGTGGGCGCCTTTGCCTCGAAGTCGTAGCATAGGGCGAAAGGCGTTTCACCCGTCGCCCTCCTCGGCGTGGTTCTGTAGCACCACAGGATGTTGGGGAGCTCGTCGACCCAACTACCTCCTGCGGCCTGGAGTTTCTTCTTCAGCCCCTCCATGATTGTTCTGTTGGCGTTCTCGACCTGCCCGTTGCGCTGAGGGTAGGCAACGGAGGAGAAACGATGCTTCACCCCAAACTCCTGGAGGAGCTCCTGGAAAGGGGCTGCCTCGAATTGGGTGCCGTTGTCTGATATAATCTCCTGGGGGATGCCGAAGCGTGTGATGATGTTCTTGTAAACAAACTTTTGGCATCTGGCCCCCGTGATGCTGGCCAGGGGTTCCGCCTCGACCCACTTGGTGAAGTAGTCGACGACGACGATGATGTAACGGTTGTTCCCGGCGGCTCTGGGCAGGGGGCCGACCAGGTCAATCCCCCATCTCAAGAATGGAATTGCGGTGCTGACGGGGGCGTAGTTGACGGCTGGCCGACCAGGGGCCTTCTGGAGCACCTGGCACGTGGTACACTTCCTGGCCAGATCCGCGCAGTCTCGCGCCATCGTCGGCCAGAAGAAGCCCTGGACGACGAGACGTCGGGACATGCTGAAAGGGCCCTGGTGTGAGGAGCAGATGCCACAATGAACTTCTTCCATGGCCATGTCGGCCTCGTCCTGGTGCAGGCATCGGAGGAGAGTGCCATTATAGGACCGTTTATAGAGTTTGCCATCTTCGATGGTGTAGCTTGGGGCCCTGAGTTTGGCAAGTCTGGCCCTCTCCTCGTCCGGGGGCAGCTCCCCCGTTATGATGAAGGTGACGATGTCGGAGATCCAGTCCTCTGGTCACTGTCGGGCCCACAAGACGGGGCTGGCATGGATGCTGGACATGCTCAACTCCTCGATCTTGGCCAGCTGGGAGATGTGCTCCGGGGTGTCTGAGCTGAGTTTGGAGAGGATGTCGGCCTCGGCGTTCTCGGCCCATGGGATCTGTGTGATCTCGTGGGTTTCGAACGCCTTCAGCAGCTCCTCCGCCGCTTGTTTGTACTGCTTCATCCGGCCTTCCTTTGCTTCGTACGACCCCTCCACCTGGCCCACAACCAGTTTGGAGTCGCACTTGATTTTGAGGTGCTTGGCCTTGAGGCCGGCGGCGAGTCTGAGACCACTGAGGAGGGCCTCATACTCGGCTTCGTTGTTGGATACCCTGAAGTTGAAGCGGATGGCATAGTAAGCTCTGAATCCTTCAGGGGATATGAGGACGACGCCGGCACCGCATGATTTTGCGGCCGACGAGCCGTCAGTGAATAGGATCCATGTATCATCTGGCTCCGGCCCGGGGTTGGCGACGGCCGTCTCCCTTGCTGTGCATTCAGTGACGAAGTCGTCCAAGGCTTGCCCTTTGATAGATGGCCTTGGCTTGATCTCAATTTGAAATTGGCTGAGGAAAATTGCCCATTTCACCATCCTAGAAGAGCTGGTGGGGCTCCTCATGAGTGCGCCAAGAGGCTGCTGGGTCAATACATGGACGGCGTGGGCCTGGAAGTGGTGTCCCAGCTTCTTCACCGTATGGACGATGGCCAGCACCGTCTTCTCAATGGGGGAGTACCTGAGCTCGGCCTCCCTGAGTGTCTTGCTGATGTAGAAGATGGCCTTTTGCACCCCTTCGTCCTCACGGATGAGCACGGAGCTGATGGCCGACGTGCTCACCCCTAAGTACAAGAAGAGGGTTTCGCCGGCTTTGGGCTTGGAGAGCACGGGTGGGGACGATAGGTACCTTTTCAATTCGTCGAATGCTTCCTGGCACTCCGTCGTCCACTTGAAGCTATTGGCTTTACGCATGATCTGAAAGAAGGGGAGTGCCCTCTCGGCTGACCTGGAGAGGTACCGGTTTAGGGACGCCAGGCGCCCCGTCAGTCGCTGTACTTCCTTGACGTTGCGGGGCGGCTCCATGTTGATGATAGCCTGTGTCTTCTCCGGGTTTATCTCGATGCCTCTCCGGCTGACCATGTAGCCGAGGAACTTGCCGCCCTGGACGCCGAAGGCACACTTCCTGGGGTTGAGGCGGAGCCTGAACTCTTTCATAATTTCAAAGATTTCCCGGAGGTCGTCGGCGTGGGAGGAGGCCTGCCTGCTCTTGACGATCATATCGTCAACGTATGCCTCCATCGTCCGGCCAAGGACCGCTCTGAAGATCTTGGCCACCATCCTAGTATAGGTGGCGCCGGAGTTTTTGAGTCCGAAGGCCATGACGAGGTAGCAAAAGATTCCCTCTGGGGTCATGAATGCCGTCTTCTCAGCGTCATCTTCGTGCATGGAGATTTGGTGGTACCCT